ATTTTAAAAAATAAACAAACAAAAACACTTCTTAAAAATCACTATTGAAAACCAAATTGAATTCTGGAATCTCAGTAGTTTTCGACATTACAAACATGAATTGTTCATTAGATCTTACTATGGGCCATCAGGGTGCTTGGTGCTGGGAAGAATAAGTATACAGATTTCCTCACTATCCAAAAGTTCGCTTTACGCCACTTCGCTTTTACCAAAGACCTACCTCAGCAGCTGTTTTCACTAACCGAAAGAAAGCTAAAGAGGATTTTGCTTTTATAAAAAAAGGCAAAAACAGCATTCAGTGTTTGTTTTGCAGAGAGCTGTTACAGAGGCTAAGCAGTTGAGCAAACTGTTGTCTTTGAAGTCTTCCTCACCAGCCACAGCTGACGATGAACCTCCCCGCCTTAGTCCTTGGGGCAGGCAGACACAGAAGGTGAGGGTGTCGGTGGCTGCCCACTCTGATGGATCGACACCATGAGATGTTAACAGATGACCCTCTTCCTCTCTCTCCTACACCCCATCTCCTTGATCTCCCAGCACCCAAACCGCCAGTGACTCAGCCTGACACACCATCATTTCCACCACCACCTCTCAGCCTTCCCGCGTGCTCTCTGCATTCCTGGTTCTGCTAAGTGACACTACGCTGTACACGCATTATTTCTACTTTATACACGCTGTGCATTTATCATTTCATTCCTGCTTTTACTTTATGTTAGTGTTATTTTAGGTTTTATGTGTTGTTTGGTTTGATTCAGTAGGTTTTTTTGGTCTGGGAACGTTCAAAAATTTTTCCCATATAAATGAATGGTAATTGCTTCCTTGCTTTACACCCCCATTCACCTTATAAAAGCTTTCAAAGGAACGCTCTACTTTAGGATAGCGGGGGAAGCCTCTATTAAGAATAATTCATAATCCTAGATTTTGTGGCTAGGATCGTAATTCAGAGGTCCCGATCCCCAATCTCTTACCTTTTCTATTATGGCAATGCCTCTCTTATGACATAAGTGCTTTATCATAATCCCATCTGTACTAAAGATGGAATATTGCATTAGCAGGGTTGATCCCCAATAGAACTGCTAAGTCCTGCCCTTAGATACGGGTCCTTGGGCTGCTGACCTGCGCTCTGGGCTTTTGGTCTTCCTCTGGCTTCATCTTTCTCTGGCTAAGATGGCTACTTGGAACCCCCTCTTTCTAGGCCACACACCTGGGGCCTCAGAATTCCCTGCCCCAGAAGCAAGTACCCGGCCCCGGGGCTGCATGGGCTTTTCCCCAGAGCTTGTCATCTTGGGGGCCAATCCAGCTGCCAGTGTGTCCTCAGAGGCCTGTGGAGTGACTGCGGCTGAGGAAGTAGAAGAAGAAGTGAGGATAGGGCCAGTGAGGCGTCTACATGCGAATATGTGGGGCCTCATGATGCTGCACAGGGTCTGGGCCAAGACGCTGAGAGCATCCACCTGTTTTCTTGCCCTGGTCCTCGTAAGTGTCAGGGTGTGCTTGCCCAGTTTTGGTGAAATGAACCTTGGCATATATATACATTTTTAAGACTTCTTTTTACACTACTCTGCAATGTACTATCTTCAGATTTAGCTCCATGCAATAACAGCTTTCACTGGGGGCCCGATACTGCTAAGCACTATTATAAACTCGTACTTCGAACTAATTCCAACACTTTGAAGTAGATAATATTATTACTATTATTACATTATTATTATCATTACCATCCCTGTTTTACCCATGGGGAAACTGAGGCACAGAGAAGTAAGGTAATTTGTGCCAGGCATGAGAACTGAAAAGTGCTAGAGCTGGGATTCTAACCACGTGGCAGTGTGGCTTCCAGTCAGTCTCCTCTGCTTTTCTACTTCAACTCTACTTATCATCCTTCAAGGCAGGCTCAAACCCTTGCGTTTTTGTAGAGGCCTATGCGAGCAGCTCCATCCTCCCTCCAATATTCTGAACTTCTGGAGTTTCTTTTGCTTTCATCACTCTGGATATTTGCTGTTTGGGACTGCTGGAAATCTTCCCATATGTTTATATATTAGCTCCACCATCTAAAGGTGAAAGATGACTAGACTCTTGACTGACAGTTGAGTGGGCAGGGGACCAGTTTCCCAGAACAAGTATGGTAGGCTTGGGGATGGGCTGCCCAGATCCCCCATCAAAAAAGGACCTGTTGTCCCAGCTGCTGGGAGTGCTGTCGGCAGATGGTCTTCAGCTGTCAGCCGCTTCCAGACTGTATCAGAGATTTCAGAGAGCCGCCTTGCCCAAGGCAATGCCGCCTCCTGGAGTGAGTGTGGCAGCATAGAGGCCTACCATCTGTCAGTGGCGTGCTGGAGCTGCCTTCCGCTGACTCTTGAAGTATCAATCCTTTGGGTGTTGGATCTTAGGATGGGTAGGGAGGGGATTCCTTGGAAAGAGACTTGGGATACTTAGGAAGCTTAGGGACAGAAGCTAGTTACCAACCTGTATGGAACTGTTTCAGTATTTTAACAATGGGTATGGTCTTGTGGGTACCTACCAGCTGGATAGCAAGCTCATTTGTACCTTCAACAAGTGACTCTACTTATGCCTTTAGTATTCTACAACTCAAATGCTTTTAACTTACCTAAGGAGACAAATTACAGCCATGTGCTGCATAATGACATTTAACAACAGACCACATAAATGACGGTGGTCCCATAAGATTAGTACCATATAGCATAGGATGTAGTAGGCGGTACCATCTAGGTTTGTGTAAGTACACTCTATGATGTTCGCACAATGATGAAGTCCTCTAACGATGCATTTCTCAGAATATATCCCTGTTGTTGAGCGATGCATGACTAGATATTATATTGCTCTCAGTGAATATCCTAATCATCTTTACTTGAGCATATTTGGGGAAATGGAGTGAGGTATACTCGGCTTGCAAACTTTAAGCTATAAACAGCACCAAAAGTCTCATCATTTTTTTCTCATCATCATTTTAATGAGACTTTTGTGATAATGATACGTCCAGTTAGATGCACCAGTTCTAACAAATGTGCCACGGTGGCACAGGATGTTGATAATGGGGGAGGCTGTGCAGTGATAACATGTGAGGTGGGTCGGGGCAGGGGTACATGGCTGTACTTTACACTCAATTTTGCTGTGAACCTAAAACTGCTCTGGAAAATGAAGTCTATTGAAAAAAAAAAGGATGGTGGGGCTGCTGTTAGCAGACCACCTTTGGAATGGAGACATGAATATAAATATTTTGAAGTTAGAGGAGCAAAATGTCCCCTGTTAACCTAATGGAGGCCTGCAAGCTAGAAGCTGCCCAGCTGAGACTGTCCTTAGCCTTTGGTTTTTCATCCCTTTCCTGGATCATCCATTTGGTTTGGTGCTGAGGATCTGTATTAGCGATAGTGAGTAAATTTAGTCAATCTGCAAATGTGGCTTTTTAATTCATTTTATGTGTCAGACTCTGTGCATAATGCACAGTGGGTAAACAATGACAAAGCACAGGCCCTGCCCTCAAACTTCACAGATTGCTACAGTTTTTCCTCAAAGGGTCATCCATTGATCACCTATATTGGAGGCACTCTGAGGCCCTTGTTAAAAATCCCAAAATTTAGGACCCTATCGTAGACCTTCAGAATAAAAATCTGTGGGTGTGTGGTCCAGGAATTTGCATTTTCTTTTAAGACTGTCTGAGCTAACATCTGTTGCCAATCTTCTTTCTTTTCCTCTTCTTCTCCCCAAGCCCCCCAGTACATAGTTGTATATTCTAGTTGTGAGTGCCTCTGTTTGTGCTATGTGGGACGCTGCCTCAGCATGGCCTGATGAGCAGTGCCATGTCCACACTGAGGATCCAAATCTGGGAAACCTTGGGCTGCTGAAGCAGAGGACGTGAACTTAACCATTGGGCCACAGGGCCAGCCCCAGAATTTGCATTTTTAACAAGCATCCAAAAGCCTTGACATTCAGAATGTGGCATCACCTGGGAGCTCATCAGAGGTGCAGAGGCCCCACCACAGACCTCCTGAATCTTAATCTGCATCTTAACAGGATCCCCACACATTAAAGTTTGAGAAGCACGGTTCTAGAAGATTCCCTCACATGCCGAAGTTTGAGAATCACTGGTCTAGGAAGACTGACGAGTATAAAGGTGAGTTTGGCACAACGTGATGAGCGCCTTTACAGAGGATCATGTGAGTTGCTCTGGGCATGCGGAAAGGGAACAGGTTCCTCTGTCGGAGGTTTCCAGGAGGGGTGATGTCACTTGCTGCTTAAAGAGGAAGGAGAAGTTGGCCAGGCTAAAGGGATGGGACAGGGGTGAGAGCTTTGGTCAGAGGAAGCCAATGTGTTGAGCAAAAGAGAACACTGCACGTTTAGGGAACAAGAAAAGTATCTGAAATTGCAGTGTTGTTTTTTTGTTTTGAAACTTATTTAAACTCCGAACATCAACCAAAGGACATATTTTTTAAAAACTCAGTGGTTAAAGATCTTCTTATCAATCTTTAAGGGGCATGGGGAATCAGATTTTTCCATTCCTATCATGCTGCCTTCTTTGGCCTCCTTTGACAACTTTTTTACATCATTTCTTCATTCATTCATTCAAACACGTGGACACCGCCGGGCACTGTGCTGTGCGCCTTTTATGTGGTGGCAAGTGAAACTGAAATAGTTCCTGCCCTCGCAGAGTTTATAGCTGAGGCTGGGGTGGGCGTGGAGAAGCCAATCAACAAGCAAATGAACAAATGTGTAATTATTAATTGAGAAAACGGCTAAGAAGTGTGCTACGACGGAGAATAAAGTGGGGAAGCTTCCAGGCAGGTCTTCCGGTCACACCACCACATCCTCTCGGAAAGCGGCCGAAGCGACAGGACATCCTCACTAAGGACCCCGCGGTCGCCCCACCGGCGCGCGCACTTGCCGTTTTGCTAGGAATCCGAAAGCGGGTGAAGCCCTCCCCACAAACGCCCCCTGTCCAGCCGGTGCTACACCGTGAAGGGGCGGTGAAAACGACCACCCTTCGCAGCTCAAACCTGAAACGAGGAGCAGCCTCCAGGTTCTGTTAAAACAAGGCGACAGGCCAAGCGAGTCGCCGCGCGAAGCTCGCGTCGCCACACCAGACGTCACTGCGGCGTCGGCTCTCCCACAAGCGGGTCTTAAGCCAGTCCGTCAGGAACGCGCGGGTCGGCGCCCGCGAGCCATCGGCCCGACGGGCCTGCGGTCCCCTAGAGCAGGAGACCGTGCCACAGGCCATCTGCTCCTTGCGGGAACGGCCTGCTCCTTGCGGGAACGGCCTGCTCCCGTACGTCGCCGCCGGGCTGTGTCTGCGACGCAGGACGCGGCAGGCCGCCCCGCGCCCTCGCTCTCCCGCTGTCCTGCCAGCCCCCGTCGCAAGGCGCCCTCTCGGCCACTCTCTTGGCCAGGGCAACCGCGAGGTCGGGTCCGGATTTGTTCCGACCGCCGACCAACACCCGGGCGTCGCCGAGCAGCGAGCCGGGGTGCACGCGCCGTCCTCCCCAAAAGCGTAAGGAACCGTGCGGCGCGGGGCGGAGCGTGGCGGCGCCCACGGCGCGCAGGGGCCGGCCGGGAGGGAGGAGCTCCCGCAGCCTGGAACTTGTGTGCCGGGCGTCGCTTCCCGGGCCGGGGAAGCATTTGAGAGCCGGACCGCGCACTTGTCAACACTGGGGCGCGGCGGCCGGGCGGCGGCGGCGGCCTCGTCATCGTGAGGCGGGCCCTCCGGGAGGCGGCGGCCCCGCAGGGAGCAGGCCTCAGGCCCTCAGGTGAGGGGAGAGGCGGCGACCCAGTGAGTGTCTGCCCGCAGCCAGCGGGGGAGGGGAGGCGACAGGGCTGTGGTGACAGCGCTGTGGGACCGGGAAGCTCCGGGTCCCGGTGCTTCTGCCTCTTCCTGCTCTGGGTTGTTTCGTGCCGGAGACCACCCATCAGTGTGGCGGGTGACGGGTGAGGGAGGTGACATGACGCGGCGTCTGCTCCTGTCATGAAGCCTGTACCAGGAGAGACCTGGGTGGGGAGAGACCAGGGTGAGGAGAGACCTTGTGCGAGGAGAGACCCTGTGCGAGGAGAGACCCCGGGTGAGGAGAGAACCGGGCGAGGAGAGACCCCGGGTGAGGACAGAACCGGGCGAGGAGAGACCCCGGGTGAGGACAGAACCGGGTGAGGAGAGACCCCGGGTGAGGAGGGACCCCTGGTGGGGAGAGACCTTGTGCGAGGAGAGACCCTGTGCGAGGAGAGACCCTGTGCGAGGAGAGACCCCGGGTGAGGAGAGAACCGGGCGAGGAGAGACCCCGGGTGAGGAGAGAACCGGGTGAGGAGAGACCCTGGGTGAGGACAGAACCGGGTGAGGAGAGACCCCGGGTGAGGACAGAACCGGGTGAGGAGAGACCCCGGGTGAGGAGGGACCCTGTGTGAGGAGAGACCCCGGGTGAGGAGGGACCCCGGGTGAGGAGGGACCCTGTGCGAGGAGAGACCCCGGGTGAGGAGAGACCCCGGGTGAGGAGGGACCCCTGGTGAGGAGAGACCCCGGGTGAGGAGGGACCCTGTGCCAGGAGAGACCCCGGGTGAGGAGGGACCCCGGGTGAGGAGGGACCCCGGGTGAGGAGGGACCCTGTGCGAGGAGAGACCCTGTGCGAGGAGGGACCCCTGGTGAGGAGAGACCCCTGGTGAGGAGAGACCCCTGGTGAGGAGGGACCCCGGGTGAGGAGGGACCCCGTGTGAGGAGAGACCCCTGGTGAGGAGGGACCCTGTGCGAGGAGGGACCCTGTGCGAGGAGGGACCCCTGGTGAGGAGAGACCCCGGGTGAGGAGGGACCCTGTGCGAGGAGGGACCCCGGGTGAGGAGGGACCCTGGGTGAGGAGGGACCCTATGTGAGGAGGGACCCCAGGTGAGGAGGGACCCTGTGCGAGGAGAGACTGAGGGAGAGGAGAGCGCGTCCTGTCTGTGGGTTTAGTTCCCATCTTGGTCCCAGAAGCGAACCTCAGGTCAGGTGGGACTCCTGAGACTCAGTGGTCGTCCTCCGTTGACCTGCTCGTTTTTTTCTGTACCTTGAATGTGAGTGAAGGTGACAGCCTGTGAGTGACGATGACACCGTGTGACGGACAGCAGGCGGATTCTGGCTTCTGGGGGAGAATCACCCAGTCAGGGTGAGGGGATTTCAGACCCGCCTCGGACAGCACAAGTTGCCCCCAAGACACAGATGAGGACAGAGACCGGGCCAGATGGGTGGCCAGCCAGGCTGGGCAGGTGTGAGTTTACCAGGGAAAGCAAGATTGAGCCGTGCTGCTGTCAACTGATTTGGAAGTTGTTTCCCTCCTTTTCTTTTTTCCTCCTTGGAAAAGAGAAACACCTGGGTTTCTTTTCTTTAATATTTTAATTGCAGTAGTCATGGTGAATTGCGATTTGTATTCATTCATAAGGAATTTCATTATTAATTACCACATGTAACTTATAATTGGTGTATCTGAAATAAATTACAAGGCAGTTTTTGTTTCATTAACTTCAAGAAAATGCCTTAACCAAAATTGGGCTAGAAGGTCAGTAAACATGTCACCTTGGTCACATAGTCTAACTTTTAGTCAGTGGAAGAATATTAGGTTAAATCACACATAGAGAAGGGGTTTTAAAATCGTGCACATCAGGGAATTAATATTCCTGCCTGATGAGTTGTCTTTACCATGAATATGTTCACAATGTAATGGTTCATAGCAAGAACTATAAAGCCATGCTGGGTTGAATTCCTGCCTGGCCACTTCCTCTTGTGTTACCTTGGGCACTTGACGTGCTATGTTTCTTAATCTGTAGGGATGGGAGTAATAACAGTGCTGATCTCATAGGGTTGTTATGAGCATTCAATGAGTTAATAATTTTAAAGTGCCTAGAACAGTGCATGTAGTAACTGCTCTATACATATTTGTTAATACATAAAATAAAAATATAGCGTGCTGAAAGTAAAATGGGGTTGTCAGGAGCTGGGAGGAGGGGCAGAATGGAAAGTTGTTGTTAAATGGGTATAGAATTTCAGTTTTGCAAGATGAAGAGTTCTAGAATTTGTACAACAATGTGAATACACTTAACAGTGCTGAACTGTACACCTTAAAAATGGTTAAAAGATGGTAAATTTTATATAATGTATTCCCACCATCAAAATTTTTTTTGAATACCAGTGTTAGCAAAGTTATGTATTCAAAATCTTTATTAGCACACAGCAGCACCTTCCACAGTTGCCTTCACCATTGTGAAAGTGCAACTTCTGGCAGTCATCAGTAAGATTCATTTATTTAGTAAATTCGTGCAATTAAGACATAAAGAGCACAAACAAAAGAAACAATATCTCAGACTCTATAGCATGCACAGTTCTAAAAATGCCCCTCCACCAAGATTGCATGCCCCAATCCCTGGAACCTGTAGATATGGTGAAATATCGCTCCCTTGATTATGTTATGTTATATGGCACAGATGAATTTAAAATAGGGAAATTTTCTGGGTGGGCCTACTCTAATCATAGGAGCCCATAAAAGGGGAGAGCTTTCTCTAGCTGGGGAAATCTGAGAGCTTGAAGCCTGAGAAGGATTGAATATGCTGCTGCCGTTTTGCAGATGGAGGGGACACTTGAGAAGGAACAGGGCAACCTTGAGAAATGCAGGAGGCCTAGAGTTGCTGAGGGTGGCCCAGCATGGAAACTGGAACTTCAGCCCTAGGGCTATAGGGAACTTGATTCTGCCAACAAATGGAGTGAGCTTAGAACTAGCTTCTTTACCAGAGCCTTTAGTTAAGAGCCCAGCCTGGCCAACATCTTTATTTCAGCCTTGGGAGAAAGAACCTGAGGAGAGAACTCAGCCAAGCCCACCCAGACTCTGACCTTCAGAATTGTGAAGTAAGAAATAGGTGTTGTTTTAAGCTACTATGTTTGTGGAAATTTGTGGCCATAGCAGTAGAGAATTAATACAGAGTCCAGTAGAAAAATGGGCAAAAGACAGGAAAAGACTATCTATAGAAGAGAAAATTAAATGGCTAATAGATATATGAAAATGCACTCTCTTTCCGTTAATCAAAGAAATGAAATTGAAGCAGTAAGTTACCATTTTTTCAGCTCTCAAGTTTATATAGATTTTTAAAAATTATACTTCTCCACATCAGTTAGTGTGCAATGGAGCACAGTCTCAGATGCTGTGAGGCATGCACAAATGTTACAACCTTTCTGAAAAGCTCATTGGCTAAATGTGTGAAAAGCCTTACTAATGCTCCTATACCTCGACCCTGTAATTCCACTTCTAGCAGTCTATCCAAAGGAACTTGTGAGAAATTTTTAAAAAGTTAATGATCACAGATGCTTAATATGGCTTTGGTTAGAAAAGTCAGAAATTGGCAATAGTCTAAATGCCCAAGGACAGGGGAACAGTTTCAATAAATTATGGTATCATCAAAAGATACGGTATTATACACACATTTAAAAGGATATTTATGAAGAATTTCAGTGGTGTGGAAAAGTGTTTGCAATTGTTGCTAAATGGGGGAAAAATAGGATAGAGAACTGTATCTACAGTGTGCTCTCAACTATGTTTAAAAAAACCCAAAGATCTACGTACCTAGGAAAGGGGCTGAAAGGGCCCAAATGGAGTGGTGCTTTTTCCCCTTGGGGGGTGAATAGGCATTGCTTATTTTCCCTTTTATACTTTTGTATATTTTCAAAATGTTGAACAGTGAACATGTATTAGTTGTTTATAATCACAATGGTCAATAGACATTATTTTAAAAGCTGTTAAGTCTCTACATGTGGGGAATACAATGAACCTAAAACACTGTCTGGTCAAATAATGGAGAAAACAAAAATCCATAAATAACTGTGTGGCAGAAAGTGAATTTTTTAGAAAAACTGTGAGATAGGAAATGATAAACATTGTTAGAAAGATGGAAAATAAAGTTGGATAACATTTCTTCATAGGGTAGTCAGTTAAAGCTTTGGCTGGAATATCATAAAGAAGGTGTAAGGTTGAATTTACATTTAAAGTCTTTGTTTTCTCCCAGATGGATGGATTTGAGGCTTTGGGCATAGACCTAGGTTAATTATACAAGGGGAAAACGGAGAGCTATGATGGATATGTAACCATTTGCAAAAAAAAAAGAAAAGGACCCCCACATGTAATGACTAGGAAAACCAAGGTGGACCTATGCTAGTAACAT